GCAGGGGGCGCCAGCAGCGCACCCTTGGGCGGGCACCTGAAGGGTACGCGCGCCCTTGCGATTGCAGGGACGACGACGACAGCGGCGACGCTCACAACCATCCAACATCCAACTGAACTGACTCCTCCCCCCCCCCCCTCACCCCCGTTCTTATCGCGAATAAGGAGGGGCATGCAAGTGCGAAAAGAACCGCGCAAACACAAAAAGCAAATCAAGGCGGGCTGTTCTATTTCTTCCATCAGCTGTCTGCCGCCCGTGTTGGTTCAGGTGCGCGGGCCGGGCAGCCTTGTTGGCGGGGCTTCGCCCGCGGCGCCCACCCCCGCCACGCCCCGCCACGGTTTCTCCCTCAAACGCGCTCTCGCGGAACGTCCTCCTTCCCTTCCGAGGAAGGCCGGCCGGCGCGGCGTCGCGAGGGCGGTTGTACCTCGACACGAGTCTCACGTGAGAATGAGCGCCGCCCCACATGGGGCAACATGAATGAAAACACATATATACCCTCTTATTTTTGGAACGGGTAGAATACAATGCTTTTAATTCTAAAATAATAATATGTTCAGTGTAAAGACCGACCTGGAAACCACCAGATTATCTTTCCGAAGCTCTCTACTTGTCAATATGGCTTCAAACTGCGTGAGCGCTCACGCGTACTAACTTGACACGCCCCAGCGCACAAGCGTCCGTGAGGTGAGGACTGTGCCCTGGCCCTCTGCGCTCCCTGCCTGGTCCACCTGGCCCGCGTCTGTCTCTGCTCAAGGAGATAATTCAAGGAGATAATTGTCGCAGGCGGCCGGGCCTGAGTCACTCGCGTCGCGCTAACGCGGGTGCCGGCGGGGCGGGGCAAAGTGTGTCCGTGACTCTGGGCGGCGCACAGCGCTGCACTGCGTGAGTGAAGCGTGGCGGCCGGGCTATTATCTCAGCACTACTAGTCATCGCCTCGTCCATAGTGTTATGGTATGATTTTTCGACGGGGCATTGTGTTTTCCGCGTCGCACCGTTTCGAACGACTAAACTACAAAAATGTTGATAACTTTTCAAATGATCTTGTACGTTTTGGCACTAATGAATTCATTGAGTACTTTTTAAAGACGGATCTCCCGAAATAATGAAAAAAGGGAAGGGATTCTGGTGCTTCTCTCAATGTTCTTATTTATCTGAACCCAAGGGGGAATTTTTAAACTTTCAGCACCAGGAGACAAAATGTTAAATGTTAAATGTCATCTTTATTGATAAGTTTTAAATTACTTTGGAATAAAAAGGTTGGGAAGGCCTTTTCCTCTCTCCTAGACCTAGACTCTCCATACCCCCTTGCATAAACGCATGCACGTATACAACGACTAAACTGCGTTAGAAGCCCCTGACACTAGGTAGGGTAGGCCGACCCGCCAGACAGGCGTGTGTACGGCGGCCGTTGTTGCCTACCCCCCAGGCGGCCCATTACCTCCTGTAGTTAAATCGATCAGTCCTTCACTAGTACTCGAATTTCATTTCCAAAACCTACTAGACATGAACAAAGAAGCACAACACTGCACTTTAAAGGTTGACCTTTTCATGAAACTGTTTTCATCAGTTTAATTAGGCTGTTATGTTAGCCAGCCTTTGATCCACTTGGAAGTGGTTTTCAAAATCAATGAAGAATGTATAGGAACACAGAGAGAACAAGAAAAAATAAGTGATCCACACTCCGCAGTACACCATACCTAGCTGGGAAAGAGCGAGCATCTCGACGAGCATATGTTGTATGAAGACATTGTACTTGGATCACATGTCAACTCTTTTTTTCCACGTAACCCGATCGAACATAGCAGACGACCTCACGGAAGGTTCCCTCCTGCGAACGGCTCCCGGCGGTTCCCCGGACAGCTCCGCGGGCCCCATAAAGGCTCGTGACGGGTTTGCCGAGCGGGGCTCGCCTGACCCGGGTCACCACCCGGGTGACAGCCAGCCGCGCTGAGAAACGCGATGCCGGCGGCGCCGCGGGCCGAGCGCCCCCTGTAGGGGCCCTGCACCCCGTCGGGCTCTACGGCCTGCAAACAGCGGCCGGCGACCGCCGAAGGAATAAAACCGTTTGAAAGATGAAGCGGCGGATGCCTTTCAGGAACGCAAGAGCCCGCAAGAGCGCCCCGCCCGAGTTGAACACCGACAGCACGTCGGGGTGACGCACAAGCATCATTTTTACTTTTTATCGCAACATTCCGAAGGGCTAAAACCACTGAAACTACCCCCACCTGCACCGCCCGTAGTTATACAGGGTGGTCCATAGACCCCTTCCTTTGTTGTCCCTATACTGTACCGTATTCAGTCGTGCGGTCGGGTTGCATACTCACACGGCGCCATAAGGCGCCGCGGTAGGCAAGCCCGCCCGCACGCATGCATGCGGGACAGTAAAAGCAAAATAAGGTTGATATCATTTCGACATGTAAAGGATTAAACGACCCAGAACACTTGACTACTTGTGCGTGTCCCACCCTACCTGGGCGTGCCGGCCGGCCTGGTGGGGCGTTACAGCGTAGACCAGCCGAACCCCGGTGCCACTGTGTCTGGCCGGGCGGGAGGCGTGGCGGGGCGGGGCGAGCCTGGCGGGGCACGAGTGTCTGGCGGGGGCACGGCCATAGCGTGCCAGCGCCCCGCCCCGCCTAGATCAAGTGAATTTTACATGTGATACAGACTGCTGCTCGAGTCGATGCGGCGAGCCTCAACCGTGCCGTACCGTTGAAATTAGGCCAGCATGTGACCGACCTCAGCGATGGCGTAGAGAGACAATAACACGGCGCCCCGCCCCCCGCCCCGCACAGCACGAAGCCGGTCGGAACAGAACAAAAAGCGCAAAAAAAAAGCACACAGTTAAGGGGGCCGTGCTTTCGGCACCGCGCGGCCGGAAGGTGTGGGCTGCCTCACCTGTCGGATTTGGCATGTCAGGGGGAAATGGGGCGGAATAACGGGCAGCACAACCCCAACCCCGACACCCCGCCGGCCGGCCGGCCGGCCGCGCCCGACCCGAGGAGGCCTCCGAGCCCCGAGCACAGCACGACCCGGCCGCCCGGCCAGCGACCTCGCGCCCGGCGAGGAGCCCGGCAAGAAGGAGGCGCGTCCACCGCGTCACCCACTGAAAGTTTCTTACAAAGAACTGCTCTATGTAGCGTACAAGAAATTAATTTGGCACCGTCGTAATACAAGGGGTATTTGTTTGTAATACGAAGGTGCCAAATCTTTCGTAAGTTACAAGGGCAGTTCGAACTATAAAGAAGAGTGTTCTTTGCAAGGAACTAGCCCAGCCCAGCCCTGGCCTCCCACACCTGCTCCGCACCCGACAATTACAAAGCCTGCTTGAAAACGAGTATTTCACTTTTCGATTGAAAACATTTGGTTCTTCTGAACAACAGTGTGCTGCTGTGTGCACAGCAGACCCGGCCGGCGCGGCGGCGCACACGATGGGGTCGTGCACTCCCTCCGCCCCGCCCTGCCGCGCCCCGCCGAACTGCGCCAGCCTACGCCTTCCTTATGCGGCCCTCCCACGCTCAGGGGAGCCTTCTGCCTTCTGCCCGGAGCTCCCCCCGGCGCTCCGCCGTTCCGCTTCCGGCTCCACCGCGAGTGATTCCGCGCCCGCTTCCTCTTTCCCAGGAAGGGTCGAGCCGCGGGTGCACCACCTGCCCTCTGCCGCGGGGGCCGCAGCAGTACGCCTCGTTCGTGCGACCCCAATACCGGTCCGGGCAAATTAGCGTGCACACAAGGAAGTAGTGGACTGGACAGGCGGGGCGGGGCTGGAAATATGACCTGGATCACGCGTGACCCGTCGAACTGTCGCACGAGCCGGGCCGCGGGGTGTACGAGTGCGCCGCAAGGGGGGTGATTTCTCATCGTGTCAACACAGCGCCATCGTGCGGCGCGCGGTGCAGCGCAGCGGGCGGCAGCGGCGCTCATAAAAAATAAGTTGTATCATTTGCATAAATGGCCCGGTGGGTCGCGAGGGCGCAGGCACACTAACTGCTTTCGCACCCCCTATTGCTCGCCGCGGCGCGGCGCCCCCGCCGCCCCGCACGCAGTAGACAGCCTGGCGCCGCCGCCGCCACTTCCGCGGCGAGGACCGGTCCCCGCCGCGCCACGCCGCGCCACGCCACGCGCACAGAAACAAAAGGAGAGCGCGGCCGCCGCCGGGCCCAGGCAAGTGGAAGATGACAGACACGCGAACCATGACGGATCGGGAAGTAGGCCAAACCACCTGACGTCCCTCCCTCCCTCCCTCTCCCTCTACGCCTCCCCTGCTCCTGTCGGCAGCGAGAGGCGGCCTCCATCCCGACATGAGGGGTGGGCCCGGGCGCGCGCGCCGCGGCGCACGCCATCCCCGGCCAACTGTGCCGTGCGTGAGTGGCGGCGGGTGGCGGGGTGGCGGGGGTGGCCCGCCCCGGCCCGCCCCTTTCTCTCCTTGAGCCCATTTCGCGGGCCGGTCCGGTGTGTACAACGGGCGTCCATTTAGCGCGTCACGTGCGTTATTCATAAAGTCCTTGGGAGATGGTACTTTCGGCCGCCGGGGCCCTCGGCCCGCACGTGCACCCCATGTGCGAGGCGGGGGAGGGGCGGGGGCTGGGCCGGGGCCGCGCACTCCGCGCACACGCGGGGCCCTCGGCCCTCGCCTTGTTTGGCTCCGCCGCTATCTCCCTCCCGGCCCCTCGTGCTGACGACCTCCAGCCTCGCCGACTCTCGTGTGTCTACGTTAGGACAATGTCCATCGTCCGTTGCAGTTTTCACGCCTCTGATCCGGAGGATCCCACCTCACGCGCAAGGAGCGAGCTCTGGGCTCTGGCCTCCCCCGGAGGACGCCTGCGAACCAGGCGATACCGTCCCGCACGACGCGGCTGTGAGCGGGTTGCCTACGCTGCAGGCTGACCAGGCCGACAGTCCCATCCATAGCACTCTGCCGCACTCCCACGCAAACGATCTTTGGCTCAATCTATTGATGGTCTTCAGTCAGCGTGGATGCTTGGATCGGATTACACTAAACCGTCAACAGTCAGTAGTTGTTTATTTTATCCAAACTGACCCATAGGGCCAGAAGAATACTTTCATTGACAAAGGTAAAGAAAACCCATACTTTAACTTTCAAAGATGACAAGTGTATCAATTTTAAAAACAGTATGCTTTTAATTTAATTGCTATAGTATTTACAGTATAGTATTAAGAACTTGATTTCAGTCACCAGACTGATATTCTCAAAGGGGGGAAATGGATATTTATACATGCACTTGCGAAAATACTCTTTTTCATCATTACTTATGATGAAATGAAAGGTGAACACAAAATAAAAACATGCTATCTATCACATTCATCAATTTCATAACTTTGAAAGAACAATAGTAATTACCATCAATCTGGTGTATTATCTCAGTATATTTTGAGTATTCTAACTCTGCTCAACCAATCGACCAGTCTTCTCAGAATAAGATAAATTAAAATAAACGTTGCAATAAAGTGCAATCGTGTTCTGTACAGTTTTCAACAAAATTAATTAAATCACCTCTTACATATCTGATGTCAGACAACCTGAGTACTGGGTATCAACGGCACACTGCCTGGTATAGGTACTTTCTCCACCTCTTCCGGAGGTCTCTGAGTGGAGGCCACAGGCACCTGCGAAAAATACATGGTCTGAATAAAAACATCGTGCAGATAGGCAGAAGACATGCAATCAGCCGACTGTCAGGTAACAGTGAAATAGAGACCTGGCGAGCATTTGTCTTCACCAACACACACAAAAAAAGAAGAAAACCAATTTCAAACAAATAGTGAACGTGTTTAGATTAAACCATGATTTTATACACAGTGAGTCAATGTAAGAGGAGAAAGGTGGTCAGCCATCATCAGACTTCTTGTAAGAAATTTTAACTGTTATCAAAAATCACTAACACTGTAAATTTTGGAAAAATAATGTTTTAGCTGTTTAATTAAGGAAAGTAACATAAAAAAATAACAAAAAGTTCAAAAGATAAAATTTAAAAGCTGAAAAAGAAAAACCGGTTGGTTGGTTGAATAGAAGAAAATCGAGATCCAGCACCCTTATTCTATGTAAACAGTTTAGGTAATTTATAAGAACTTGACAGGAGTAAACTGCCACTTACTCAAATCCTGAAATGACATATGACATAACTTTAATTTGATGCAAACTGCATGACCCATTAAGTCAACTATGGCAATTAAAATATAAGTGGAACAAGTCAAGTCCAATTCGGCTAATCAAGATAGAGGACAGAGAGATGAGAAATAGGAGACGGAGAGAGTTGTTAAGCATTCTTTTCCAAAAAGGTTTGAACCCATTTTCTTTCACCTCATAACAACCCTTCAAGAACCTAACTGAGTCTCTCAAGTCCCTAATGTACAAAAAATTATAGATGGATGACAAGATAGTTTTATGAAAATGTGAAAACAGATTTGAAACATGAAAATGTGGACTTTAAGGGAAAACACAAAATATGTCAGGAAAATGCTCAACACACTCACGGTGATAAATATACTGACTAGATCACTTGGTCATCAAATCACATTTTTTTTGCATAGCTCCATGAAATACAACATTCAAACAGAAGAAAGAAAAATACTTTTGGTGCACTATCAGTCCATTAACACTACTGCACATTAGCTCAGCCAGACCCATCATATAAAACAAGAAAAGTTGTACACAAAGAATCTGTAGATGCATATGCGGGGAATGTGGGCTATGTAAGAAACAAATATTGTTTTTCATAATGAAACAAAAGAAATTTTATTAATGAAAAAAGAACACTCTAGAGTATTATATATGAGAATTTTGAAACACTCTTAATCAGTCATTAAAATTCTAAGCAATAGATTAAGAAATGATCATGAATGTATGTTGTATTTTAAGCATTGAATAATGTGTCCACATCTTTTGGTCGCTGCGTAACCTGTTTTTCAATTGAAATTATGCTTTCAATACTAAAACAAACTCTTTGGCAGCGAAAATTCAAACAGTAGAAGTTTGATCACCCACCAAATGTGTCCAATCTAGCAAACAACAAATTTTGCTCCTTTCTGATCTGTCCAGTAGAAAGAAGATTCTCACTTGATGATTTTGGTAAATGCAAGGTAAAAGCTTAATGTTTGGTATGAGGTACACAACAAATCAAAGTAAAGAGAATTAAGGTTTGCTAATAAATAATACTACAACCAGATAAAATGTTGTTTTATCATTGATAAGCTACAGGCATTGACTAAAGGAGCCCAAAATTAATTAAAACAAAAGGAACAAAAAATTATGCATATCACTGTAATTCTATCCATTTGGAATTTGCTTTCAATAAAAACTTATGATCTGTTAATACTAAACCAGGAGGAGAAGTGACCAAAATACCTTGTTACCTTTCAAGCACTGCACAGCATTAACCATAAATAAACTATGGTAAGATAATTGAACAGAATACAGTTAAAGTAAAATGAATAGCAATGACCCTAATCATGAAGTATTGCACTGGGCAAAAATGATTGAATAAATGAAAAACAAATGTAAAAGCTGGATGATGTCTGGCTAGTAAACAATGCTTGCACACATCTACCTCAATATGGGTTTTCTGCTGCTCAAATTGAAAGATGTGCAGAGATAACCAGTAAGTTTGTAATTCTGATGTAACTTAAGAGAATTTGAAATGTAAAACTTCTCTTTAAAACAACACAATGAATGCATTGCAAAATAATAAATAAGCTCTAGTTTAAACCATCTCCTACAACTTACACCCAGTGATCCATTAACAAGTAAGTAAGTAAGCTACAGCCAAATACTCACATTGTTACAGTATACCTAGTTTAAAAAAATGTTGAGATGACCAAACAACTATGATCAGAACAAATAGCACACCACAGAGAATACAGATTACAGTAAAAAAGGAATTATGTATAATTAACAAAGAGAATAACTCTTCAAACCTTACTTGCATTTTGGTATTCATTATGTGCTGCCAATTCTTTGGCATTGATACACATTTTTCCCTATCAAAGCTCATTATTCAAGATTTTATCATGAAGGACGGGTTAATTGGAATAACAACTGAACTAAATAGTGTTTCTGCAGGGGGGGGCTAGATAAATGAACCCTTAAAATGACATCAGCACACCTGTCCCTATCGATATAGTGTCTTTTTGTCCTTATTGTACACAATAATTTATTAACAAGTATTAAGGAGTCAAAACTTACTTTCCATCATTTGTACATCACTGACTTTGTAGTTTAAGTTACAGGAGTCTACACTCATTCTTTGTCAAGTTCCACCACAGAATTATTAAAGGCACACAGAAAATTCAGAAATGCAAGAAGGCAAGACAGTCCCGAACGGAAGTTTAAAATATGGGATCAGGTACCAAGTAAGCTATCACTTTGAATTAATCACCTTTCCTGGTTCTTCATGACCTTGATATTTTGGTTTTCCATGTGTGAACGGTATATATCGGTACTTGATCATATGCTGAAAAGGAAAATGCAATTTGATTATTGGAACAAGTCCAGAATCCAGAAGAATACAATTAACATTAGCATAATAAGGTCAGGAAAGAGAGTTAAATAAAAAAAAAAACAGAAAAAATGAAACAATGTCTTACCTTAATTTGTCGTTTCATAGTGATGCCAAACAATGTGAAGAAGTACATCACTAAAATTGGCCAGAAAACAGGAACATTGAAAACCTCAAAAAATGAACAAATGAGTGCAATTAGTGTAGATTTGGCAACCGAGTACCAAAACTTGAATTCTGGAAGGCGCCGAATAAACGGGCGGAACTCTTCATTGGCTCTTGTGGGTAATTCAGGACCAGCATCATCTGAGGAAAAAAAATTGGGATTGAAATACAATTGTAAGAATTTTCAGTTAACTTGAATCGAGTGGAACTCTTACCGTCAAATTCCAAAGCTGGGTCTATTCTTGGTGTGATGAAGCCAACAAACAGATTTAGATAATAAATTCCCAAAGCATATGTTACAATATACCAACCCTGGGGGAAAACAATATGGATTAGTATAACACTAATGGGTCATGGTTCTTAAAATATAACAGAATGAAAACAGATATGTAATAATTGGATAATTAAAGAAACACACCTGCATTATTAACACTCTTCCAAGGAAGAAACACAGCAATAAAAATGCAAATACCCATCGTCCTATGGTATGAGGCACGGAGTCATCCAGAAGCTTTTGGTATCGCTAATATTTTTTATGTTTAAAAAAATAGAGGAAAAGGAATCATTATGATCCTGACAATGATAATAGTAAAACAAGCTTTGAGTTAAAGCTTGAAAAATGCAATCCATAATTACAACAGTTACAATTGTACTAACAGGAAAAGGGAAAACAACAAACCTGTTGTAGATTTCTCCATATTATTGTTGATTTACGTTCCTGTGTTGCTCCACTGTCACCGTCATCCATCATTTCTTATTTAATTTATTTGACTTAATTTAAGTGGAAATATTCACCTACAAGGAATCATAAATATGAAAAATAATATGTGGGAGACAAAAATTTAACGAGAATGGTAGATAAAAGCAATTGGTACTCAGTAGTTCAAGAGATATGAGTGATTACTGTGTTTAAGTTGTCCCAACAAAAAGAGTGAATTCCTCAAAGTAAAAGAAAACACTATAAAATCTACAAATCCTCTGGACACGGACATAGATGAAACTGTATATAATTGGTAGCAACTATATACATTTAATATGAAAAGATTGACTTTTGCCCTGACACAAAATTAAATAGCTTATCACTGACAAGCACTAGGTTGCAACATCTCAAATAAACATACACTGGGAGTAGAGCGGTTCGGTGGGCAACGGTTACTGAAGAATTTTGATAGTTGAGGGACGCCAAAACCATTAAGAAAACTGGAGAAAACTAGTAAAAGTAAAAATTGTAAGGAGGCTAAGTTGTGGTTACACCTACTAAGAGGAGATACTTTGATTTGATCGTCGTCCGTAGCTAACTCCACACAAGCCGAACGATTGCTTTACCTTAGAATCAAAACAGCACAGACTATGGTAGCAAAACCTTGTATTTTTTGTTCTTAAATCATGTCTAAATGAATAAATTTACATCCACGTCAATGGGGCTTCTGCAGTCATCAGAAAATGCAGTTCACTCACGTACGTACTGCACGCCGACACGTAATCCCATGACTTCGATAAGGCTGTGCTTCATTCAATCATGAAATATTCGATTCTGTTGAGATGAAACCGGATGTGCTAGTTCTTGTTTCCGGGCCAATCTCTACTATGGACGAGGGGAGGGGAAGAGAGGGACGGAGTGGTGGGGTGGGAGGGAACAACCCACAAATCCACAACTTTTAAGAGAAATGTATTTACAAACAATGTCCTATGTTTTATATTTGTGTCATAATTCATGATGTAATCACAAGAACGATTAATTGTCAACGTTTTCTTGTTTCCTGAGGCGTGTTCATCGATTGACAAGGTAAAAACGCCTGTCCTCAGTACGTAAATGTCACCTGAAAGTGAATGTTTAACCTGTCAAACTTCAAGGGACTCCCAAGCAACTTTACTTGGATGTTAACACTGGAGTGCTGTTAGAAGTATACCAGAGTGTGTGTTTTAACCGAACATCTAATGCCCTTTTTGCTATTGTGTGTCAAAAGTTCTCTTATTCTTTGACAACCATTGTATTTAATTAAAATTCAAAGTACAAATATTTCAGGTCGCAAACGTCGCAACTTTGACAGCAAAAATGGCTGCTATAAGACACACCCTTCAGAGGGAAGTTTTCCAGCCTAATGACGAAAGGTTACTTGCTGTTATGCATGTAAGCAAAGTTCTCAAAAAGAAGAAAATAAGCTACCTGTGTCTCGCTGTCACAATGGAAACACCAATTTGCATAACAATTTATCAGGTTTGAAATTTTTAATAAATAAACATTCCCATTAAAATACAATATCAATGACAATTTTGCTTTTTCACACACCTGTTTGGTTTGCAGGTCAAAAAGAATGACAAAAATGTACTGAAAAAGAAGCGCTCATGGCAACTAAATACCCTCAGAGTTGTTGATGGAAGAGTTGCAAGCATAGTAAGCAATACCTGTTCAATTTTACTATCCATTATTGTCCATGTCATATTGAGATCACCATACCAGTCATTATCAAACATTTTATTTACAACTTCACTTTCAAAATGCATTCATTTTCCTCCCCTCTAGGATTGCAATGATTTAGACCTCCATTTTGAGAAGGTGTTTAGGTGGTATTGCAGTAATATCCAGGAACGACAGAACTTTGTTATTCTTTTGTGGAAGGTACTGTTCACATGTGATGTTCATAAAGTAAACATTCAGAATACAAAGTTTGCTTTTGCTAAATTTTAACATTTTTTTTTCTAATTTTTTATTAAATTATATTCACTGAAATTTTCACAGCAATGCTGCATTCATTTACCAAAGGAAAGGCCGGAGTTTCGCAATCTACCTGAAGATTGGGTTGGAGATCCTGGCTTACTACCAGAGACACAAGTAATACTTACACCAGGTTGGTTTCAGTTTGAGGTACCTTAGGGTTTTGTGCTCTCTAAAGTCAGAAGTTAAATAATAAGTAAGTATTTATCACAGGATTTGTGGAGCCAACTGAAGCTGAGGATTATCATGCCCTGACGGAAAGAGAACAGCAGGATTTGGATAAGCTCATGTCCTCATGTGGTTTTGCTATCAGTAATGCTGAAGCTTTTATGGAGATGATAGCAAAGGATCTCTCCGTTCTTGATGGGGTGAATACAGTTTTACTGTACCTATTTTCATTTAAGAAAACAAAAATTGTCATTAATTTATCAGTTAAGGAGCCCCTACAATTATCGGAGGCCGTGCGACTTGAGGCGAGGTGACCGAGGAGAGGTGACTCAACGCCCAACGCAAGCCGCCTAGAATCATCAAGTGGAACGGCCTCCTATCACTATGAACGCACCTTCATATTTAATTTTTTTTTAGGAAAATGTTCAAAGTGTACTTGCATCTCAAGAACAAGTGGAAATGTTAATGACCCAAATTGAGGCTGCTCTCTCTGAAGTGGACGTTGTTGAAACACGCCTCAATATGTATGAAGAAGTAATAAGCCATGTAAGGGATGCACTGGAGAAGATGGAGGAGAAAAATTCTCTCATCAACATAGTAAATTGCAACAATCAGAAACTTCTGGCTGAACTTGAAAATGTTATTGTAAGTGATTCTGAGCAATCTGCTTTTTATTTTTCATTATAACTTAATGTTTGCTTTATGATTGCATAATTTTTTATTGTATGTATTCTATGCCTTGTTAGTTTCAGCTGGAACTTGATGGTAAACATCAAGCAGCTTTGACAGATGCAGATTTAACTAGCACAACAGGTCTATTAGATGCCATTGCTGCAGGTAAAGCCCTGCTAAACGCTATGAATGCAGAAATACATCCAGCCCTGTTGCGTATGGCTGCTGTCCAGGAGCAGAGGAAACGCTTTGACAAGTGGAAAGCAAAGTTTTCTCAAACAATTTCTCGACATCTCAACAACCTTTTCATACATTTGGTGGTTATCAATTCCGGATATTTTGTCGTAACAGATCATCAAGATCTTTTTACTGACATTATTTTTTTTTCTTAGGGCAATGATGCTGGAGAGACTTTAAGTTTTCATGCAAATGAACTAACTTTGCCTAGGCATGAGTCAATTCATGGAGAATTGGAAGTGTATGCAGAACTTATGCACTGGATGAAGGCCATGGATAGGAAGGCATATACAGCTTTGATGCGTGTCTACACTAATGCAATAAGTAAACTATATGACAGAGATATTAAGCAATTTTTTGAAGAGGCAAAGTTACGAATTTCTGGTCTGAGGACAGATAAGAAAGGTAATTATTCTTTTTGGTACTAAGTGTATTTACCAAAAACAGATGTAATCAAAATACTAGTCCATCACTGAATTATTTCAGGCAAAGGTAGTGGATCAAGAGAGGATCTTGCTGGTAAATTTAAGCAGGGAGCGGCCAATGTAGTAAGTGGTGTGTCTGGAGGGGCTGCTAGTGGTACTCCGACCCTACTGCTGGGAGTAGAAAGAGATCAATGGGGCATCGATGCTGCTAGTTCTGCTGAGAGACGCCGCTTTGATGAAGTTTTGGAACGTGTATTGGCTCAGCTCGAGCCAGTATGTTTAGCAGAACAGAACTTCTGCATTTCATTTTTCCAATTAGATGTGCTTTCACCAACAACAAAGGTAAGATATTATTTGCAACTCAATGTGAAAGTTATGTGTGACTCATAACTAATATTGTGGCTTTTGTTTTAGAATACTCAGACAACACTGGACGGGTTGATTGCTGAAGGAGCCGGTGTCGCTAGAGAAGACATAGATCCATCAGTTCCTCTCAAGAGAGCTGAAAAACAAGTGAATGAAGAAGTTCGTCGTATGATGTCTGATTTATTTGGGTGTATTGAACCTGAACTTGTCAATTTTGTCAGCCATTATGAGAAAGTGGATAGTTTGTATGTTGTAATATGGAATTACTAGTTCTGTTTTGTTCGTTTTCCACAAGAATGGGTTTTACCATATTGTTGTTTTTCTTTCTTTCTTCAGTTATTGTATGTATGTTTTGGTGAGACTGAGCCAGCATGTCATGTCAGCACAGGATACTGGCTCATTTCTAAGTATGAGTTTTGCTTCTGCTTTGGTCCAAGTAAAGAGGAACTTTGATCGGTTTATGCAAGCTCAACTTCGTTCCATTGAAGAAACAAGACCAAATAGAAAAGGGACATGTGGAATTCTTCCATTTGTTGACAATTTTGAGGTAATGAGTGTTTCAATGTTACTTGTAATTTTTTTATTTTTTTTCTCAAATCATTACAGTATTCTGTTATTGTTCTAGGACTTTGCTCGAACATCTGAAGAGATCTTCAAGAACTCAGAGCGTAGGACAGACCTGGAGAAGTGGTATACGAAATTGGTGTCTGCCATGTTTGATACCATCCCACGTATTGCTTCTGAACACACTAAAACACCAAGTGAAGTTGTTAAGATGGGTATGGGTTCATCATAAACAGATTCCTTTTTTAAAATATTCCTAAGTGAAGAATCCTCATTTATTTGAAAAATTCTGTTGCAGAAAACTACCATCATTTATTTGCCTTATTGTCACATCTAAAAATAAGTGTTTTAGATAGTCTTCGCAAGGAAGCAAAGCAGAGATACAATGATGCTCTCAGAGCTTATGTAACTCAATACTTTGGGAGACCTTTAGAAAAACTCAATGTAAGTGACCTTGTAGGCAACAAATGTTTCAAAAATCCATCTTGGTTATGAATGGTTATGACTGGGTTCTTTTTAATAATTTTTTTCTATTTTCAATCTTTTTCCCAGCAATTTTTTGATGGGGTGCAGGCTAAGGTTGCGCAAGGTGTGAAAGAATCTGAAATCAGTTACCAAATGGCTTTCAGCAAACAAGAACTTCGCAAAGTCATAAAAGAGTATCCTGCCAGAGAAGTAAAACGTGGATTGGTAAATTTGTATAGGAAAGTAGAAAAACACTTGTGTGAGCAGGAAAACCTGTTACAAGTAAGAAAAATTGCCTATTTACAATTACAGAAATGGAGCTACTGTCAGTACATTTATGTATTCTTCAAATGTTTAATTTGGTTTCTAGGTTGTTTGGCGAGCCATGCAGGAGGAATTCATTCAGCAATACAAATCAGTGGAGGATTTAATTCAGCGATGTTATCCAGGGTCGATGATTGCTTTAGAGTTTACAATAAGTGACATTTTAGAATTTTTTTCAGAGATAGCCAGATCTCACTGACATGCCTTTCCCTAGATATGCTTAGACACCTCTTAGTAATGATAAGTATAGTAACAATATTCAAGTATAAGCATATGAATAGTGAAGTTTTAAAGCTTAATCATTTTTATTGTAGATTGTTCTATAATTGATAAAATATAAACGGTATGTTTTGTTAAAGACCATCTTGCTGAAGTCTGTCTGTTACCCTGTCAGAATAGCCTCACATATTTGTTGAAAATGTTGAAAATTACCTTGCTGTTAATTTGAGAAAGAATAATTAGAAATGAGAAACTAAAAATTGTTTGCCAACTCAATAATTATTAAAAAATTATAATTACCTTAGGTTTAATTCTTTTCTCCAAGTATAATTTTTGAAACAATTTGCCATCAAAGAGTTGAGGGTGTCTTGTCTGCTCAGAGTAAAATGTTAACAACATTAATTTGCAGTAAAGGCTGATCTTAGTTTCATACAGTTATAAGAAGCAAAGGAACACCCACCCATTCAGAGCTTACTGGGGTACCACAGATGGAATTAGCCAGCACCAAGTGAGTAATTGCTCTTGTGAACAATGTAGCAAGCTGTACACCTCGAACATCAACTTTCTTTAAATATATTAGAGATAGATCTTTTGAGTTCATAGCCTGTACATCTACAACTGTCGATGCAAAGACTTTAACTTCCCAGTCATGAAGAATACCAGCATCCTTTTAAAAAGAAAAGCGTCAAGAATATAGAGGTGTTTTAAAAATGCAGAATACTGAACTTTGGATCATAATATTGCTGAGTATGAACTCACATGGTAAAGGTAGGATAAAATGCAAGTGGCAGATATAAGCTGGTGTGGAAATTCACCTAACTTAGTATCTGATAAATGTGCTGAACCAATCCAGCTGAGAAGTTTGAACTTTTCTCTCTTCATTTCATCAGAGTCATTCACCCATAGATCAAGGAGCTTGGGACTATTTTCTAAAACCATGAGTGACTCATTATTAAGACATATTTTTAGAGGTAAAAGAGAGCTTATACTTCACTTACCTGGTGGCAAAATTGCTGTAACCTTCAGTGGACCATTTAAGCTCTGAGGCCCACACATACACCATTCATCGACAGCCAAATCTTCCTCAGAGTCTTGTGGGTACTCTCGAAGAGCAACGCCATAAATACGCTGACGCATCTGTCTTAGGGCAGCAGCTGAGGGTGGAATAGATGTCCTGCAATCCTCTAAAGCTGTACTCATTTCAAATGGCAACTTTCGAAGAATATTGTATACATATGATGGATGGACCATGGTTACATAGTTAACATGAGCAAGGCACATTATTTGGTCCCAATTCTTGCATCTTGAGTCAACAGGTCCTAAAATATAAAAAATCAGGTTACTTTACTTAGATACAATTGTAATATCTAAAATTTAAAGGTTCAAATTGGAGCATACTTACTGACAGGTTCATTTATAATTCTTCCATAACTCAAAATACTTTTCTGTAAATCCTCAGCACGGTGACGAGTCCTAAAAACTTCATAAGATAACTGACCCAGGTAGAGAAAAAGATCATTTCCTTTCGGAAGACTCCAAATATACTCCGCGACTTTTCTCACAAGGACTGCTGCATATGCCTGATGCCGTTGCCTGCCAGTTAACAGACTGTGAAAAGGCTGTGAAACAAATCACAAAATGATAAGTAAAATAGCAAATATACATTGCTCTCTCATAATTAAACCTGACAGCCTATTTGTTCATCCTTATTTGTTCATCCTTACTCTTAGGTCATCTGCAGATATGAAGTCATTGCCCATCAATGATGCAAATATTGGTAAGTCAGATACATTGAGTTGGAGATGTCTAGCTAGAGCTTTTTGATCATACACTAATGTTGTCATTCTGGTCAAATCTAGATTTTCTGCAGATAGATAGTACTTTGCTCCACTTTGATATATAACAAAATCAGAGTCTTGGGCTAAAATAGCAAAGCATTTGTTCTTTTCAGCATAACTTGCTATTTCTTCATCACACTCTTTCAATGAACGACGCACCTGTAAAAAAATTCAACAAATAAATTTATTTTCTTTGCCTGTAACAAAAAATTGAAACAAAATCAATTTTACTGTTACCATGCATCTATCTTTTGATAACGTTGACATAGTGTTTCCTGCTCCAGCAGGCAAGACATACAGTTCTGGATCAATTCTTTGAACAGCTTGACCTTTACTAAGAGCGTCAAATACAGCATGAGCCTTTTCCATACTCTGAAGACGTCTGCTGACCCAAACTGGTCTTTTGCTTTCTTGAGTGGCTCCATCAAAATATACAACTAACTTAACATTTATGGCTGCAAAATAATACATTAATAAATTTTGAAACATTAACGACAAGGCACACATAGTATACATCATCGTATCAAGGCATACCTTCAAAACATTCAAAGAAATGAGTGACTTTTTGAACATATTCTTTGTATTGTCCACCACACACCCAATCAAGTCCTTCGTAGATACTACGAAAACAACATGATCCATCAACAACTATGACAGGTTCACAATTAAATTGTTGTCTGGAGAAAAAGAAAGTGATATTTGAGTATATTGACAAGACAGTTCAGACGGCAGAAATATCCTGTCTGAATAAGTAAAATTTTTGTGAGTACTTTGAAATTTTACCTATATTCTTCAGCAATGTCATAAATGCTGACTTCATAACAAGCCTCTGGACAATGCCGCTCAAGGAATGTTTGAAGGCGTCTGACTCCCATGATTATCTTCTCGATATTCACTATTCACTTGTAAATATTCATCACTAGCAGACATCCATTGTTATCAAACATCATTCCTAGCATAACCCATCAGATGTCAGATGACTACCGCAGGATTTTTCATAGATTTTCTGCACCGAAAAATTCAGAAAAATTATTTTCCTATGGCTGAGTATTTCTTCGAAGAATTGAAAAATGAAAATAACATTTTTCTTTCAAGTGCTAGGAATTTTTCAGCGTAATGCTTTGTCAAGCATTGGCAAAAATATTTTTTTGTTTTGCAGTGTTAACACGACTGCAGAAACCATCAACAAAAACATCAACAACAACAGCAACACTGGTTTTCGCGCCAAAGTAGGATCAAACAACGGACACGGACTCGTGCAGCGTAAACGTCTCTCGTTGAAAAGTATTTGTCAAAAAAACATAGTTACTTTTTGAACTTCAACCATGTCGTCTGTAAGTTTTACTTAACCACTATCTTCTTTGAACATAAATTGTCTTTGAATACGCTTTGTAAGCTATTATATACGATATTTACTCACCGGTTACTGTCTGCTTTTAGAGGCTAGGAAAGCGTAGCCCCCAAATATTCAGATTTTATTATCAATCATACGTAATTTCAAAAGAACTCACGTCATTTTTGTTACAGTTGTGTTTAGTTTATTTTCTTATTGTAGTTTTATGGTAGAACCTTTTTCCAATCCAGTTTTGATTTCCAGTAGGGAATGTGGTAGCTGCTAACAGGTTGTCTTTGTTTCCAGAATGGACGAGATACTCCAAGTGATTTCGACAGGTCAGTCGGTGACGCCCGTCGGGAAGCTGTCACCTCCCCAGTTCGTGACTTGGAACCCTTCGAAGATGAAAGTGATCTTATTGGGGGCGATGTGGATAGCGTTAGACAGTTTGAGGATGAAGAGGAAGAAGATGGAGAGGAGTTATTCGGAGACAACATGGAGGCGTAAGTTTGCAAGAGACCTAAATATTATTGTGTTCATTCATGTTTCTTACTTCGAGTGCTAATGAGTAATTGTCCTTTTAGGGATTACCGCCCCATGCCTGCATTGGATCAATACGATCCAGATGCACTTGATGATGAGGGAGACTTTGAGAACATGTCTCAATCAGACCGAAACGCTGCTGAACTAGCAATGAAGCGAAGAGATCGAGAGGAAGGAATGCTTGGGCGACGTGGGGACCGTGAACTTATATATGATGATAGTGATGAAGAAGATGAGCCCCGGAGGAAAAGAAGAATGGCTGAAAAGGCTGCTGCAGGAGATATGGAAGATACAGATATGATTGAATCAATTGAAAACCTTGAGGATACCAAAGGCCATACAATCAAAGAATGGGTGTCAATGATAGGTCCACGAACTGAAATTGCTAACCGTTTTAAAAACTTCTTGAGAAACTATGTTAATAGTAAGGGGCAATATGTTTTCAAGGATCGTATTCGGCGTATGTGTGAAAGCAACCACAGCAGCCTTGAGGTGACTCTTGACTTGATGCCTTTAAATTGCCACTTTTCCATCTTTGCCCAACTTAAGATTTTAACTCATCTTTTCAGGTTGAATTTCCAGCTCTAGCTGCCAAAGAACATGTCTTGGCCTTCTTCTTGCCTGATGCTCCAATGGAAATGCTGAAAATTTTTGATGAAGTCGCTAAAGAGTTAGTGCTTACAATTTTCCCCAGCTACGAGCGAGTTGCAAGCACAATCAATGTGAGAATATCAGAACTACCGCTCATTGAAGAACTCCGCACATTTAGGTATGTCTCTTGTCTTTTTGACTGTATTGTGAGCTCCTGGTCTTTATCTGAAATGCCTAGTGAGAATATTCTCTTTTGTGTTCAAGGAAAATACATTTGAATCAGCTTGTTCGGACTAGTGGTGTTGTGACTGCCACAACAGGTGTGTTACCTCAGTTGAGTGTTGTTAAATATGATTGTAACAAGTGTGGTTACATTTTGGGGCCATTTGTTCAGTCCCAAGATGTTGAAGTGAAACCGGGCTCTTGTCCTGAGTGTCAGAGCACTGGTCCATTCATGGTAAGCAGCATATGTTATGTTTCATATCCTGCTTTTCTCCATGACTTCATTTTTTGATCCTTGTCTCTAATTTTAGTACTAACGTTTTCAGATCAACATGGAGCAAACTCTTTACAGAAATTATCAGAAAATTACTGTACAAGAATCACCTGGGCGTATTCCAGCTGGCCGTATCCCCAGATCTAAAGATTGCATTTTGTTAGCTGACCTTTGTGACCGTTGTAAACCTGGTGATGAAGTGGATGTTACTGGAATCTACACTAATAATTATGATGGCTCATTAAACACAGATCAAGGTTTCCCTGTGAGTTCAAAAGAATTATGCATTGGAGGGTTGTTAGAACATTGTGTTCTTTTCATACTTACAATTTTATTGTAAAAATATTTTTCAGGTCTTTGCAACTGTAATTTTGGCCAACTTTTTGCTTGTGAAGGATTGCAAGCAAATAGTGCAATCTTTAACAGATGAAGATGTATCAGCAATTCAGAAATTGGCAAAGGACCATCGTATTGGTGATCGCATTGTAGCAAGTATGGCACCGTCGATTTTTGGCCATGATTATATTAAACGTGCATTGGCCCTTGCTTTGTTTGGTGGAGAGTCAAAGAACCCTGGTAAGAATAGTACTTTTGTGTTGAAATCAGATTTTCCATAGAATTCCTAAAATTATTCATAACTAACATTTATTTTGTAGGTCAAAAACACAAACTGAGAGGAGACATCAATGTACTTCTCTGTGGTGACCCAGGAACAGCAAAATCACAGTTTTTGAAATATGCTGAAAAAATTGCTCCACGAGCTGTTTTTACAACTGGACAGGGTGCTTCTGCTGTAGGTTTGACTGCTTATGTGCGCCGTTCACCAGCAAGTCGGGAATGGACTCTAGAAGCTGGAGCTTTGGTTTTGGCTGATCAAGGTGTTTGCCTTATTGATGAGTTTGACAAAATGAATGATCAAGATCGCACATCTATCCATGAAGCTATGGAACAACAATCTATTTCTATTTCTAAGGCAGGAATTGTAGCCTCCCTTCAGGCCCGTTGTTCTGTCATTGCTGCTGCTAATCCTATAGGTGGACGTTATGATCCTAGTATGACCTTCGCAGAAAATGTAAGTATTTTTTCATTATATATTCACACTAGCTTATATTGATTGCTCAATTGTCTCTCATTTGTTGCTCTTCTTACTTTCAGGTCAATCTCTCGGAACCCATCATGTCTCGTTTTGATATATTGTGTGTTGTGAGGGATGAAGCAGATCCTATGCAAGATGAAAGACTTGCCAAATTTGTTGTGTCCTCACATATTCGACATCATCCAAGCAAGATTAATGACACTGTTCTTGATGATATTGCTGTTCCTGATCCTTTGCAGTCCACAGATATTGAACCCATCCCTCAAGAACTACTTAAGAAGTACATAGTTTATTCCAGGCAACATGCTCATCCAAAGCTTCAGAACATGGATCAAGACAAAGTTGCAAAGATGTACAGCCAGCTCAGACAAGAATCTTTGGTAAGTTTTACATTTAATTCAACTGTATACTGCACATATTAGAAATTTTCATTCTTATTTTTGTCATTTTTTCTTCACCGTAGGCAACTGGAAGTTTACCTATCACTGTCCGTCACATTGAAAGTATGATCCGTATGGCTGAGGCATCTGCTCGTATGCATCTCAGGGACTATGTGCAGGAAGATGATGTAAATATGGCTATCCGAATGATGCTTGAAAGCTTTGTTGAAACTCAAAAATACAGTGTTATGAAAACAATGAGACAAACATTCCAGAAGTATCTGTCTTTCAAGAAGGACCATAGTGAACTATTGTATTATATTCTACGACAAATGACTCACGAACAGCTTGCATTCATGAGAGGTCTCCATGGTTCTGCCCATGAACCAAGCACTGTTGAAATTAGTGAGAAAGATTTTATGGATAAAGCCCGCCAGATTGATATTCATGATGTGAAGCCCTTCTTTGAGAGCCGTATTTTCAAGGCCAATCATTACTCTTACAATCCTAAGAAAAAGGCTATTGTTCAATTGGTTGCTGATACTCGTCTCGGTCGCTAAAAGAATTGTCTTTTATTCCATCACATGCATCCTACTCATTGTAACTCTTTCAACTGTATAAATTATTGTAGTTAGGGTCAGGTATTTTTAATGCTCAAATCCATATGACAATGTATTTTTGTAAGATTTCTGTATTTGGAGCTTTTTTTAACATGCATTATGTATTGATAATTATTTCAAGGAAATAAATTAACCATAACATTTTACCTAAACTACCATATCTACTAAGTTATTGGGGGACAAAATAAGTGATATGGCAAGAGGATAAGGTTTAATTGTGAAGGTCTTCATATTAAGTAATATTGCTAAACAATCATGGCAATGAACACAATACAGGCAGAGAGTTCTTACAGGGTGGCCACGCAACCTCAAAGTCAAGGAATATGACTGAATCTTGCTCCAACTTGTTTTTGAGCTTTTGGTAGCAGCAGAGAGTTCCACAAGAAATACCTCCAAAAGTCAACAAATTTGAAAACTGATTGCACGGTCACTCTGTCTTAGTTCCAATAAAATATTTCTATCACAGACACAGAGATCACAAAATAATTCAGGATAAGTTAACTGATATGGTGCCTAGCACTTATCTCTCAGTAAACAAACATGCCAGTCATCAGGTAGTTAAGGATGCACACAAGGAGAATATTCTAAGACTTTTGAACAGATCTTGATGCAACAAATATGGTAGAAAGTTGGAAAGAATGAGGTAACCACAACGGCGACTGTTCCTCAACGTCTTAAAACAATATGCAGTTATCCATAAGTAATCTTAATTTTACTGAGGAATACAGTCTGTACTTAAACACAAGTAAGGTGTGTTTCGTTTTTTAAAAACAGCAAGGTTAATTAAATACTTTCATCAAAAGTAATGATAAAGATGCAACTAATGGAAGAGGTAAGTGTACCGAGTTCTTCTCCTTAGAAGAGTAGAAGTTTCTTCACTGAAGAGTTTCATCATCAGAACTTACAGTGGCATCCATGATTTGCGCCACATCATTTTGCTTATGTGAAAAATGGACTAAATTTATTTGGTATTCCTGCCAAGTTCTTTGTAGACGTCTAGATTCCCAGGATCTTACATCCCAACCAGATAAGCGTCCTAGAGTAGACAACCTCGGACAGTGGTCCAGTAGCCTAGATACACTTCTGATGGTCAGTTGAGAATATCCCAAAAGCCACTGCAAATGTATGAAAAAAAAGATAAGATAATTAGATTTTGCTAAAGAATATATAGAGGTAGGAAGCAATATCTGGAAAATACTTACAGTTTCCAAGTGTTCAAATGGATTGATTTCAAGCCACTCTCGTAGGACACGATCTGTGAGTTTCTTAATTCGTACCAGTTTGACTACTTTTAGTTGAGGAGCTCGAGTTAAAAGTAAAGCTGCTGCATTTAATGATATTTGACATTCAAGCTGTACAATGAAGATGATTTACTAATTAATAATCATTTAGAATTACAAACAGAATTATCAAATAATAAAACATTGATTTTGTACCTGCAGTTCTTCCAGATGAAGCAGCAATGGTTTTTCTTTATCATGAGATACTGATACAGTTTTTAGAGGCTCATGAGTTAGTACTAACTTCTGCAGAAGTGGACATGATTCAACTATGAGCCCAACATCAACATTGGGGACTTGAAGCTGTAAGGTACAGGTGATTTACATCCATAAGAATCAACCAAGAGCAGATAAATTAATTTAATACAGAGAGTGTTGCTTATTTACCTGTAATTCACAAAGTTGGGATAGATGGGCTAGTTCTGGACCAATATCTACAGGAAATGCTAACTCTAAGGTTAATTTCCGAAGTTTCGGTAGCTTTGATAATTGCTAGAACAAACAAATGTTATGTTGGGCACAATGAGTTGATGGATAATTTTCATTATTTTATTCATTAAGGTGATTAGAAACACATAACATTCTTTCACAAACCTTAAAATTCAAACGCTTAGCATCATCAGATCCAAGGTGTAAGATTTCTAGATCAGGGCATGATGTACCAATAAGTTTAACTTTTTCACAAGATGGTCCGCGGTAAAAAATCTTTGAAGAACAGAAAAGAATACAATAATGAAGACGCAGAAGGGCAGAATCGCAGAGGCTGTTTAAATTTTGACACATACCTGTTTTAAGGCAAATTTATTTTTTGACTCTTGAGAAAGCTTTTTCAACACAGCAGTTGCAAACACAAAATCTCCAAGGGATGTAATGTTGGGCATATACTTCAGGGCAAAGTATGCTCCAAGAGCTCGTACCTTTGTGTTTGTGAGTATCAGGTCTCTCATGGTTGCACACAAGCCATTAAGAGAGGTCATTGGAAAGGGAGTAGACTGTTTGACAAGAACAAATGTAAAATGAAAATGTACTCATCAGAGAAAAAAAGGAACCAAAACTTGATAGTTGAAATTTATACAAAAATAGTTAACACCATGTGATGAGTTCCAAAAACCATCATTCTACCTAAAACGAAAATGCATTACTGGTAGTTACATTACCTGCATTGCTAGCAACTTCAGTTTAGCCAATTGTGGTGCCTTCATGTCATGTGAAATCTTGGCACTCACAGGAAAAATAAGGAAAAGAATATCCATACAAGAAATATTTGAGCCTGATATGTCAAGCAGCCTCACACAAGGACAGTTTTTAGCAATTGCAGCAAGTACCTACAAGAATAAGATGTGAATTCAATAGCATTTAAGGTGTAAAATATGGTAAGAATTAATAAAAGATAATAGAAGATAATATTACCCTGCTGTCGTGTACAGCATCTTTGAGAACAATTTCTGTGAGTTTATTGCACTGCTGAGCAAGAGATTTCAGAAAGCCACTCATGTTAATACCAAGCGTGGTACACAATAGAGGTGGTAATGAAAACCTGAAAAATACATAAAGATTTACGTAGGTGGAAACGTTTTACTTCTTTGATAATACTACAATTATTTTAAGAAGAATTACAAAAAGCTACTTCTTACTTTCGAAGCCCGCAGCATCGATCAAGTACAAGTTCCCACACTTCTGGAACACCTGGTTGAGGCCTGAACTGAGCTGTCCTTATAACAGGCTGAAAATCTGACAGATCAAACGTTTGGACCTCATCATCCAAAACTATTTCTAGTAAACGAACAGTCATTGTATGAAGAGGTAGACCTAAAGGAGGTGTTTGAGGTTGTGACATTTTTGCATACTTTTTCAAAACTCTGAAAACAGGAAAATATCATGATTCCAATTCGTCTTTTACGAAATCTAAAATTAAGTGAAAATATTGTAAATCTTTATACTTGTTTGTGATCTTTTGTCGGACCATTTCACTTAAAGTACCTGGCAAGAAAGCCAAGTACTCACGAAGCTCTTCAGAAATTCTTGCTGTACTTAAATCTCTCCTTCGAAGAAGTAATGAATTAGCTTGTAAGCCTCTAGCTACTTCACATAGTATAAGGTCTGTTTCAAGGCATCGTATTACAGCCAAGAGGCACAACTCCTCTAATGGTAATGGAGAAAAGGACTTTTCAAGAGGCATTTCTAATTTTTTAGAAGAATAATCTTAATGGTAGTGTAGTCAAGTTCTCCTGTAATGCAAAATAGAAAATGCAGCATGAGAAAATCATAACACTTCCAAATCAGCATCAATATTGTTTTTGCATTAACAATAACTATATTTTTAGTCTGTAAAATGTTGTCGACCTCGTTTGAAACGCCAAGCGACCACTCGCTATTAATTTTCCATCAAATTAACCAACTTGGTGATGATATTTCTAGTTTAAATAAACCATTTATGGATACACATTTCATTGACATTTCATAACATCAAAAGATAAAGAGGTAGACATAATCGATTGTGAAAGAGAAACCATGTTTTCTTTACGTATAGATTTAAAAAATAAATATTTATCAATAAGCGTTCAACTTAAAACTCAACCACCGTCCATTGATAACAAGTGATTGGATTGGGATTGGAGGTTATATATACAGACAGCTGTAGAGTATCGTGTATACTCTAGGGTGGGTAACCGGGTGGTAGAGCTTCTTGGGAGAGACAAGTACGCCAGCTTGTGGGTATAACTTAACAACGTTTTATTCAAGGAATTCAGGGTATATATACAGTTTCCTGAGCACAGGCGAGGTATAGTTCATTCCCCGTAAAGGTACCTAACCAATGTTAGAAGGCAGTGAGAGCAATACATGACAT